CCCCAAAACCCCAAAACCCCAAAACCCCTTACCTAGTGAATTACTAGGAATTTAAGTTCTTTAATACTATATTTTAAATAGAAATTATATTCAGTATTAGTCTTATAATTCCTCAACAACATCTTACTAAGGATAGAAATTAATCGAAGTAGTTGGGGATTAATGAACATTATTAGGCTATTGTTATGTAGTTTAAGGTAAGACATTTGTATAAGTTAGATTTTGATATGCTTCACTTGCAACTATCCACTTTCTTTTTTCTTGGCTCCAACAGTGAATAAAATTAGTTCCCAAAAAGAATGTCTAGCAATAAAGAGTTGCTACTTAAGGACCATTTCTCATAAAATAATCAGCTTGATTCATCTGTGTTGTAAATTCACTCAGATGACCATCATTAACATTATAAATATATGCTCTATTAGAAGCCATTATATTTTACCTTCCTCCTAATATTAGTATTCGATCATCATCAATTAAAGTAGCCAATCCAAATGCAAAAGGTCTCAGTTCTTTTTTCTTTATAAAAAGTTACTCCCATTTAATATATTCAGCATCATCTTCAAACTCCAAATCAAGTTTTTCAATATCAGCTACTATATTATTCTTAGACTTACCGTTATCTCCTCCAAAAGCATATAGAAATTAATTTTAGAATTTGCACAAAGCCAATCCTGCCTTAGGTGTATTCAGAGTGGGTATCATTACATCCCATTCATCATCCTATATATAATATTTCTCGGTTTGATTATTCATAATAATCTTTTCATCCTAATAAGTCTGACCTCCTACTGCGAATATCAAAAGACCAAGCATTGAACATAAAGCAAAATTGGTTCTAGAAAGATTTAATTTACCCCTTTCTTCTATTGTATTTAATTTTGGAATGTATTCTGAGACTTTTTAAGAATATGTGTTTGGAGAAAAATGCCCACCAATGAGGAAAATTCGGCCACTCTCTATTTATATAACCTGACAGTTATCAACAAGATTATTCCACCCAGAGTTCTCTATAATTCTATTACTCCAGTCGAGTGTGTTTAAATCAAAAGTCTGGACGGCCTTCTTGGAATAAACAAATCTGTAGAATTTAGTTATTCTCTTAACAGGCATTTTATTGAAGTATTAGGGAATTATTTTATCGTAAAATCTATGGCATACAATTTGATATTATGATACATGCTCTAAATCTATGAATTTCAAAACTTGGAATAATGCACTTGAATAGATAAGTTTAGATGCTCTTTTTTGTTTTTTGACTCTCTTTGTTCTTTTCATATTTTTAGTGGCAATTTAACAAACTTTAAATTTGATTCAAAGTATTTTTTAAAGATTTTTGTGAGACAGCAAGATTATTTATACCGCCTTGACTTAAAATTTATAATTATTAAAGTTTAAATTTAAAACAACTAACAGAGTTTGCAATTTGTCAGTCAATCATTCATCCTCAAATCATGTATATCAAGAAAGTGCAAGTACAAAATTTTGTCAGCTACAGAGAGCTCGACATGCCTAATGATCTTCACCCAGGATGTAATCTAGTTCTTGGCTATAATGGCTCCGGCAAATCTAATTTTTTGCAAGGTAAGTTAAAAGTTGATCATCCATCTCAAGATGGATCAATGAAATCACTCCCTTCTTTATTTACTGAAATTAATTATACATATAGCCATAATCTTTGCACTAAGTGATAGCCATAGTAAGAAGTCAAAGCAAGAGAGAACTATGATGCTAAATGTAAGCTAATTTTTGAATAATTTATGTTTTGGCAGAATAGAAGTGCAACCAAAGAATACTCAGTTGAAGTGACTCTGGACAATCATAAGTAGAAGCTACCCGTAGCTGGAAATGATGTTATAGTTAAGAAGGTATACAACTGCGACACCGATAGGGAGACATACTTTTTGAATGGCCAACATATTTAGGAAAGAGAAATTTTCAACATTTTTGAAAGCGGTGGATTCTCACTCTCAGGAACATCTCAGTTCCAGATTGTTTAGTAAGGCTAAGTAGAGCAACTCGTGCTTCAAGGAGAAGAAGGCTTTTTGAAGATGTTAAAGGAGGTAACAGGGACTGAGTCATTTGATTCAAGAGTTGATAAGATGAACCAAGTTCTAAGTGAGTGCAATACTAAGAAAACTCAGCTTGAGAAAATCCTTGACGCTATCAAAAGCAGATTAGATGAACTTGGGAGGGAAATTGAGGAGTATAGAGAGATTCAAAAGATCGAAAAAGAGAAGAAAGCCCTTGAACTCGCACTTCATACCACTAAAACTCAGGCAAATAATGGCGAGATTGAGAATTTGAGAAGACAAAAGCTATCATTAATGGAGTAGAGGAAGAGTATAATTGATTAAAGAGACGATATTCTCATTGAAAATTCGAACTAGAAGGACTAGATAGATTCCTGTAAGAATATGATTTAATTACTCGAAGCAAAGATTCACAATCTTAACTAAATGAGAAATGAGATCTTGAATTCCTAGGTTAACTCAGAGTAGTCAGCAAATTAGAGACTAGTTTAAAAGAATCTCAATGATTACTTTAGTGTCTCCTATGACTAATAGATTCAATAACTCAATCAAGGTGTAGAGCTATTGCATAAAGAAATAGATAAGCTATAAGAGTAAAACACCGCCATAGAAATTGATATATAAAAAATCAAGCTAAAACAAGGAGAATTGATTAGAGAAAAAGATTTGTTGCTGCTGAAAAAAGAAACTCTAGAAAAGTTCAAGAATCCATAACAAAGGAAAAAGTTCTTCTAGGAGGAGTAGAATAGAATTTAAGTTTAGCAAGCCAACGTTAAGAAAGATATAGATGATGCACATAAAAACTTAGACTTGGCCAATAAGAGAGTCCAAGAGCTAAACTAGAAAATCTAGGCTAGGTAGCAAGATAATGAGACTTTGAAGAACAGAATGAAAGATGCTGAGAGGGATATCTTAGAAGCGAGAGAAGAAAAGAGAAGAGTTGCAGCTCAGTTAAAATCATTCATGTTCTAGTAAAATGAACTTGATCTAGAAATTAAAGCTTTGAAGACTAAGTATGGTGCTGAGGTAGAATAACTTGAGAGACTTGATCCGATCTATTCAACTCTTAAGAGACTTAAATTGCTGATTAATGAAAAGAATGTTGCTGGGTTCAAAGGATTACTTATTGACTTCATTGAATGTGATAATAGATTTGCAGCTTGTGTAGATCTTGCTGCTAAATCTAAACTACTATCAATTATTGTTGATGACCTGGAAACAGCAAAAGAGATCCTTGCTCTTAACAACCAGATAAAAGGTGGTGTTATAAATATCTATCCATTGTCAATCATTGATAACTCTCAAGAAAAGCAAAGAAACTATCCATAGTCTAATGAAGTAATGCCGCTTTTCTAATAAATCAAGCTCAAGGAGGGAGCAGATCCAAGATTGGCTAAACTTATCTATAATATTTTCTCTAAGGTTGCCCTAACAAGAACTTATCAATTAGCCATGGAAGTAGCTAAGGATTATAACCTTACTTGCGTTACTCCTGATCTCCAAATCGTCTATGCTGGAGCATTTATTACTAGAGTTGGACAGTATAACAAGTCTCAGCAGGATAGAGTTAGCATATACAGAAAAGTTATTAACATTCAAAGCTAAGTAGAGTAAAAAGTGGCACAATAAATCTCACTAGAAAAGGAAAAGGATAAGTTATCTGGCGATGATTTGGATTCAATGAGAAAAATCTAAAAGGCTGAAATTACAATGAATAACTTGAAAAGTTAATCATAGTAAAATAATACTATCTTGTTTGACCTCTAAATTTAAATTGAGCAAAAGACTCAAGGTGTCAAAGACCATTAGAGAGTAATTGATAATCTGAACTATCAAGATAATTAGGCTTTAGAAAATCTAAAGGATTTAGAAAAATAATCTTAGAGTCAAGGTGAAGCTTTTAGTGAGCAAGATTAGCATAGATTATTATTCTTGAATAAGACTCTTGATGAGCTTAACAGACAGCTTTACCAAAAGGAAAATGAGAGGACCTAATTCACCAATCAACTAAATTAAGCCTCTAAGATGCTCAATGATAATTATCTCAAGAGAAAGAATGATCTTTAGCATAATATCTTAGAACAAGAAATCGAGACTAATATATTGGGGAAGAAGAATGAAGATTCAGATAAACATTAGAATGAAGTAGAATCCAAAAGAATTGAAAAAGAACTGTAGATTTATGGTTAGCAATTATAAAAGAAAAATGATGAGCTAAAAAATTTGATGTCAACCATCGAGGTTCAAGAAGAGAACGATGGTTTGATGCAATAGCTCAGAGCTAAAACTATAGAAATTGAAGAGATAAGCATGAAAATTGATGAGGTATAAGGAAGAAATTTTTAACTTGAGACACTAATTAAAAAGATTGAAAGCTATGATAAGCAGACATTTGATAATGCTATGAAGGACTTTGAGCATCAAAGTATTGTTAGAGAAATCAATTCTAGAGGGCAAGAGCTTGAAAAGTTCCCAAGGATGAATAGACATTGTGTTGAATGGTATGATAAGTACACATCTAAGCATGAAGATCTTCAGAAGAAGTTCAAAGATCAAATTGAGACTGAATAAGGTCTTTTAAGACTTCTTGTGGACCTTGATTTGCAGAAATAGCAAGCATTGGAAAAGAACTTTATGAAGTTGAACTAAAACTTCCAAGATATTTTCGGTAGAATCGTGCCAAATGGGATGGCTGAGATGAGACTTATAAAGAAAGATTAACAGGATGAATCTCAAATATCTCACCCATCTCAATTCCAAGAGGGTTCTTAAGTCATGTAGATAGGCTAATAAGTCTATAAAGGTATTAAGGTTAGAGTCTCCTTCACTGGCTAAAATAATTAGCTTGAGGGATTAGGCCATCTATCTGGAGGATAAAAAGCTGTGGTTGCTGCTTCTCTTCTATTTGCTATCTTTAAGATTGAACCTGCCCCATTCTATATAATGGATGAATTCGATAATGCTCTTGATGCTGAATTCAGAGGTGCTATTGCAGGGTTGATTTATGAGCTATCTGCTTAATCTCAGTTCTTGATTACCACTTTCAAGCCTGAGCTTATTGATGGAGCTGATAGACTTTATGAAGTCATGACTAAGAATAACAAAAGTGAGATTGCTCAAATCGATTCGAAAAAGGCTTATGAAATCATCAATGATACTGCTAATAGCAAATGATTTTTAAGAGTTTAATTTGATTGGATTATAAGTTTATGAGGGCATTAATTTGCTTCTTTTGATATTTTCCTAAATTATTTTTAATAGCATTTAAAATTTTGATTTAAGGGGTTTTGGGGTTTTGGGGTTTTGGGG